TTTAAATAATGTGATTATTTAAATTTGAATTTGAACACATCTAGATTTATCCATTTAAACTTATTTGATAAGTTGTTCAATTTAGAATTCAAATTAATTTAAGTTTGACTTAAATTGAAATTTGAATTTGAGTCAAAATTGGACTATAGGATAAAAAATAATTTTTCTCTTCCTTCCCTATCTGATATTGGCGCCTACACAGGGATAAAATCCCCTTAGGGTTGGCCAGCCATAAGAAGAAAAGAGAGAGGAGAATTTTGGTTCGAAATTCAAATTGGAGATAGAGATTTGATTCCTTCTAGAAGTTTGGCATCTACTCTATAAATAAGAGAATAGTAGAAAATTGTGGACACAATTTTTGAAACAATTTTTCAGCCCTAATTGTTAAGGCTGGCCGAAATTCCCTTGGTAGAGAGGAAGGAAAAATTTTTTTCTCCAAAAATTCCACATCGTGCATGCGTTGGTGTTTGTGAAAATTCGAGTGTTTATTGTAACCCGTTTTGTCTCATGTGTGCCCACACACACGTCTTCGTGGATTCTACGAATTGACGTGGAAGACATTGGTTTTCTAAACACAAAGCTTTGGAGCAAGGATTGTTCGAGGTCAAAGAACTCAAGTTATCAACTGAGTCGGCCTCCAGGTATTTTTCCTAATTGAGTTCTTAATAAATGAATTAATGAGATTAATTTATTCGTGTATAAATTAATATAATCTGCAGAGTATCTCAAATGTTTTATGAAAATTTTTGTTATACACAATCCGCCTTCCCCGCCACACTTCCACATCCGAATTCGATTTGGAGACCAACAAATTTCTGAATTGGATGGTTTGAATCAAATCCAAATTGAATATTTAATACGAATGCTCCAATTTAATTCAATTAGAATTTTTGATGTGAATTAACGAACCAAACAAAACATACAGAGTTAATTTTACAAATGGCCCTCTAAAGTTTACCATCAATTTTATTTTAGTCCATGACTCTTAACATGTCTCACAATTGATCCTTTAAGTTTTACTTTGCTTCAATTACGATCATTCTGGTAATTAGGGTCTCGTTCATTTCGCGGATTTGAGTTTTCAATTCGAACTAAAGTGTGATATTTTCTGAAAGCTTTTAACTGTAGTAGGAAAAGTTAGATGTGACATTCTTAGAGAGCTTTTAACTATAGAAATCTAGAACTAAAAACTCAAATTGGTGAAATAAATGATGCCTATGTATTAAATATTTGACGAAATCTGTGTAAATTAGAGACTAAATTGAAAAATAGCTAAAATTTAGAGACTATCTATGTAAATTAACTTTTATTTTTTGAATTGGTTTAGTCCCTAATCTCTAGATGTTTTCAAATTTAGTTTCTACTTTCTACGGATTCCTTCAAATATCTAACGCTTAGCTAACATATTGATTGAAACTAAAATAAATAAAATCTTAGAGGCTAACTGTGAGGTGTTTTTAAAATTAGGGATCAAAATAAAATTGAGGATAACTGTAAGAACTACAAACTCATAATGGCCCCCGTTCATTTCACCGATTCGAGTTTTGCAACAGTAAAAAAATGAATGGAAACAGTCACATCTCACTTTTTTGCTACAGTAAAAAGCTCTCAGAAACAATTACATCTCAACTCAAATTAAAAACTTGAATCAACGAACTAAACGGACTCTTTGGTGTTAAATATTTGATGAAATATGTATAAATTAGAGACTAAATTGAAAACAGCTAAAATTTAGATACTATCTATGGAAATTAACTTTTGTTTTTTGAATTGGTTTAGTCCTTAATCTCTAGATGTTTTCAAATTTAGTTTCTACTTTCCACGGATTCCTTCAAATATTTAACGCTTAGTTAACAGATTAATTAAAACTATAATAAATAAAATTTCAGAGACTAACTGTGAGGTGTTTTTGGGCCCGTTTAATTCGCTGATTCGAGTTTTTAATTCGAATTAAGATGTGACTTTATGTGAGAGATTTTTACTGTAACAAAAAAGTTAAATGTGACTGCTTTTGAGAGTTTTTTACTAGCAAAACTCTAATTCTAAACTTAAATCGGTGAAATGAACGAAAAATTAGGTATGGGTGGCAATTCATGTCACGTGTCGTGTTTTAATCGTTTTTTTTTTAATTTGCAGTCAACCCAAACACGACACGAAATTTTTTAAAAATCGCAACACGAACACGACACGATCACTTTACGAGTTGACACGACACGACTTGAAAATGACCCGTGACACGAAATTGACCCGTGAATCCGAAATTGACACGAAAATTGTATACTTTTATTTAGTTTTTTACATATTAGAAATAACTTAAAATTCATAACACACTAAATTACAATAACATCCATTGAAATTAAGTAAATAATAGTATAAGATTTTGAGTATAACTATCATGATATTACAAGTTCATAATAAAATTTAAAATATGAAATGAAAATATATCTATTTTTTAATTTTTTACGAGTTTCGTGTCGTATTCGGGTTATGCGAGTTCAATTCGAAATTGACCCGTGTTTTTCGTGTTAATTTTAGGTCGACCCGAACATCTTTTTTCTCAACCCTAACTTATAAAATTCGTATCATTTTCGAGTCGTATCGTGACTCATGTTGCCGGTGATAAAATTAGGGATCAAAGAACCCCAAACTCATACACTGGCAGCTAAAAAAGTGAATATCATCGATGGAAGTGTGACAAATATGGGTACTAAGTACTAACTCACTGTTGCCAAAAAAAAAAAAAAAAACAACTATAAATTGCGCGCTCTCATCGTCGCACTCTCTTCATCACCTCATCCTCCATATCTTCTCTCTCCCATTCTCATCTTTCCAAACCCATCAGAAAAGAGTCAACCCCAAAAAACACAAAAAAAAGAAAAAGGAAAAAAGAATATATATTATCTTAATTTTATACATGGAGGTGACTGAGAGAGCTCACGGAGTCACCGAGGGTAGCACCAACCCCTCCATGGTGTCGGTGGATGAGGCTCTCCGAATGGTGCTGGCAGTTGCCCAGGGACTGCCACCTGTCACCGTGCCTCTCCACAACGCGCTGGGCATGGTCTTGGCTGAGGATGTTCGCGCTCCTGACCCTTTGCCTCCTTATCCTGCCTCTATCAAGGTATCCCAAAACTCATTTCTCCGTAATATCCCAATTATCATTTTTTTGACTTTTTATGATTAATTAGTAACTTGGTATCGCATACTTTTCCCTCTAAGTCAATAAATCATCCAACTTAGGACTTTTTTTTTGTGGGGTTTGGGTTCTTTATGGCTTTTCTGAACCTGATAGTTATTTCTTGTAGTTACTCTTGTATGTTTGGAAAATGATGCTTTTTGTCTAGTTCTTAAAGATACTAATTTATGATATGTTTGTTTTTCCCAAATTTTTGTTATCAAATGTTTTGACTCAGGATGGATATGCTGTGGTGGCAGAAGATGGGCCTGGTGAGTATCCTGTGGTTGCTGAAGCAAGAGCTGGAAATGATGCACTTGGTGTGACTGTCACTCCTGGAACTGTTGCATATGTCACAACTGGAGGTGATTTTTCTTTTTCATTTTTTTTTTCTATGAAATATAAGAGGGAATAACTAGCATCAAAATTCTTTAGAATCCCCACACAAATTTATTAGATAAAGGAAAAACATTCCAACGGCGAAGCTGCCGAACAACTGGTGGTCACTTGGCTTCATTTACTTTTGAAGCTCAATTCCAATGCCAATGTCTTATATTTACAGTGCCTTTTATGGGCATCTTATGGAGTTTACTTGGCCCCAATTTTTGTTTTAATTGTAATCTAGGCTACAAAGAAGTAAAGAACTTGATGAGACTGAGACCTAAGTATTATCATGGAATTCTGTAGTCAACTTCCTTTTCAAAATCTGAATGAGGAGGCATGAGGTTTTGACTTTTGATATCATAGTTGTGGTTTCACTTTTGGGAGAATAGTGGAGCCATACGAAGTCTGTTGAAGCTACATTAAGACGTCTTTGCCTAAGGGATTCCATTTCTTGTACTGATTTTTCACTTCTGTCTGTTGAAGCTACATTAAGACGTCTTTGCCTAAGGGATTCCATTTCTTGTACTGATTTTTCACTTCTGTGCTTCCCTCCCATTTTTGGTGTGGCTTTACTTTAGGACCTATCCCTGATGGTGCCGATGCAGTTGTTCAAGTTGAGGACACCGAAAAAATTGAAGGGTCTTCTCTTGAATCAAAGTGCATAAGAATTCTGGTTAGAACAAGCAAAGGAACAGATATCCGTCCAGTGGTATGTAATGGTTGATTCCTTGAAATTTTTTGACAAAATTGTAAAATCATTTGGTGTAGTTGATTTTGATTGTATACCGTATTTTCTAATATTGTTTAGTTCTCTGTCTATCAAATAGTTGATATGAGCAATATTCATGCCCTCAATGACAAATTTAGTATATTCAATTTTTGGCTTCTATTTCTAGCAGATGATGTGTTGGGGCCTCTGTAAGTTAGATTCTTTTGTTTTCTAGGCTTTGCGATTTTTCATATGGTTTCATATATTTGTGTCCTCTGCTAGTTGTTAGTGAGTTAAAATTCTCCTTTTTTTTTTTTTTAATTGCTTGTCTCAAGGAATTTGGCATTATGATGCTGAAATTTCTTTTCTCGACGTGCATTCTCAAACACATCTGCCATTTTACTTGGGAACTAAGTTGAGACGTAAATAATTCAAAACCGAATTGGCTTATTGGTCCAATGCAACCATATGTCTTTTGGCGTGTATATGATTAGCGTGTCTTTGTAATTTTTATGGGCGTGCGTATGTAAGCATTAGTAATTACATGTTTCGTTATAGTTCTCTTCCTATTGGTATGTCTATTTCTGTTTTGAGAATAGTTAATTTGGTGAAATTGTTCTTACTTCTCTATGTGTGTCTAATTTCAGCATATCATCGCATTCCATATTTTTGTCTTTACTTTTCACTGATTTCAACTAATAAAATACAGATTTTCAAGCATAATATCGGCTGTTATTTGTTTGAGTTGCGGAGTGTATAAGCTCATTCCTGTATTTGTTTTCAGGGATGTGACATTGAGAAACATGCTGTAGTATTAAGGTCTGGAGAAACAGTCGGTGCTTCAGAAATTGGCCTACTGGCTACGGTCGGAGTAATGATGGTGAAGGTATTAGAGTAATCTACTTTCTGCTTGATGGAGTTGTGAATTAGCCGGTGGCTAATGTTGTCATAGCAGGTGTACCGCACTCCAACTGTTACTGTGCTTTCTACTGGAGACGAACTGGTAGAGCCAACAACAGAAATTCTAAATCGTGGCCAGGTACTATAGCTTTACTCTATTGGAGAAACTCAAAACTCAAAAGTCCAGGGTGGGTGCATGGGAACTGGTGTCAATGACATGAAGTTGCAGTTTTTGCATTGAGGGCGCTTAAACATGGAAGTTTGAAATTTTAAAATCCTGTTTTTTTTTTTTTTTTTTTTTTTTTTTTTTTTTTTGATAGGATGATAGTTTGCTCTTTTACGGGTTGTTTGGAAGCTATACTCAAACCCAAATCATTATTTTGCTACAGTGTTTTTATCTCACAAAGAGTTTGAATTCTAAATTTCCTCTCCCACAAAGTTCCCGCCAATGAACCCGAATCATGATTTGAGTATACCATCCAAACGGGCCCTTATTTTCTCTCTTTATTTGAAGTTTATCAGTCTTTTTCCCCTCTTTCTATTTATTTCCTGCGGTTTATGGGTTCAGTTACACCATTTCCTGGCCTATTTACTTGGACATATAACTAGGAAAGAACCTTTTTTTTTTTTTTTTTTTAAGAAACAAACTTCCTACAAGAGAAGTATATGCTCGCATTAATTTCTTTTGATATTTTTGTCACGTTGGTCAAATTTTTCTTTAGATGCATTCAATTATCGTCACGGGTTGCTTTTTCCGTTATGCTCTGGAAACAGTTTATCTACAAGTTAATTTGATTCCTGTGCAGATTAGAGATTCCAATCGTGCTATGATACTGGCAGCTGCTACGCAGGAGCATTGCAAGGTACTTGACCTTGGTATTGTAAGAGATGATGAAGAAGAACTTGAAAGAGTCATGGATACTGCATTTTCTTCTGGGATCGATATCCTTATAACTTCTGGTGGTGTTTCCATGGGAGACAAGGATTTTGTCAAGCCACTTCTCAAAAAGAGAGGAGCAGTGCATTTCAGTAAGGTAGACCAATTTGCATTTCATGTATTTTATACTTTTTCCCTCTCTTGAGCCTTTCTTATCCTCCTCCCTTTTTATTTATTTATTTTTTTCAATGATAGGAATTTTCTTATTAGAAAAAGAAAAAAAGAAGATATTTTTCTTCCCCTGCCAACATTTGTTTGATGCATTTCAAAGTTTGATATTTTAAACCAGTAGACAAGTATGATAATAGTCAAACTTCTATACATTAATTTCATAGGAATTAGAAAACAACCATTTTAAACCAAAGAAAAAAAAGCATTCCATTTTTTAATGTTTAAATAAGTAAACAAAATGCACAAGTTCACTGATTGAATTAACAGAAGTGAAGCCCTTGAAACACAAAAGATTTGCTACCCCTACTAAGAGAAACCGAAACTTTTCAACATACTCTTTTTAATTCAATCAGCTCTTCAGGTTTGTATGAAACCGGGAAAACCTCTGACATTTGCGGAGATCGTTGCAAAACCAACAGAAGGCGTGCCAAGAAAAAAGATTCTTGCATTTGGGCTGCCTGGAAATCCAGTGAGCTGTTTAGTGTGTTTCCATCTCTTTGTAGTACCCACCATCCGTCGTCTTGCTGGATGGGCAAACCCTCATCTTCTGAGGTTGCTCTAAGCTCTCTTTCTTTATCCAATTTTTATTGGAGAGACTCTGTAGATAAATTAAACTGACATGCATCCTCTGTCCAATTATCTTCTATGTGCAGGGTGCAGGCCCGTCTTCGTCAGCCTATAAAGACAGACCCATTCCGCCCAGAATTCCATTGTGCTATAATTAGTTGGGAGATTGATGACGGATCAGGCAAGCCTGGGTAAGTTTTTTAAGGAAACTGCATTTTGACATCTTGTAATGGAATCCTGAATATTTAGGGTTTGGTTCTATTTGATCCATGTTGGACTTGATTTCCTCTGGTATTTCTCTGATCTGAGTACTTTTTTTCCTATTTTTTGGGATTTTAGTTTTGTTGCTGAGAGTACTGGTCATCAGATGAGTAGCCGGCTTTTAAGTATGAAGTCTGCGAATGCTTTATTGGAGTTACCAGCGACAGGTAGTCTGATACCTGCTGGTTCTTCTGTGTCGGCCATCATAATTACTGATTTGAGCAGAACCGCTATTACCAAGAATACCTTAACATCCAATCCAACTTCTCCCTTGCAAGCAAATGCAAAAAAAGAAGTAAATGCAAATGCGTCTCAGGATTCTGAATTCAAATTGGCTATTCTTACAGTGAGTGATACTGTGGCATCGGGGGCTGGACCTGATAGAAGGTATGCCGCATCATATTGCAGTTCACCTAGAAATATCAGATATTTTTATGCAATTTGAACTTTCGGGTCTCTTGATATAATATTGCATATCATATTCACCTCTTTGAATTATCATTTTCAATGAGCCACTTTCTGGATGCTAAATTGATAGTAGAGTTGATGGTCCTCTTTGTCTAAGTTTGAGATGGAAATGGTGAATGCTCTGCAATAAAATGATTGGCCAGCTAGCGACCTGATAGTGGCTAATGGTATCCTTTTAAGTGCTTATTTGATTGTTCTACTGTCAGGGATTGGGATGCTCTGCCAAAACTTGATTGCATCTGGATACTCCTTTTTGAACATATTTTTTCATAAGGACACTTGTTGATGCCAAACGCAAAAAGAGCAAAGTTGGTATAGCTCATTGTCAAAGTAAAGCATTGGAAGTACTAATGCTTTGCTATATTTTGGATTCCCCCAGTTCTTCTGTTCTGTTCCCGGTCAAACCAAACGAAAAAGGAGTCCTTAACACGTATACTCTCATAGACGCTAAATGGGTTGGAACTCTTATTTGATTGTTCTACTGTTGGTCAGTGTCTAAACTTGGATTGCATCTGGATACTCCTTTTTGAATTTTTGTTTCAAAAAGGTCACGTTTTGATGCCAAAGAGAGCAAAGTGAATATTGCTCCCTGTCAAAGTAAAGTAAGGGACGTACTAAATACTTTGCAATATTTTTAATACCCCCCCTTTCCTTCCCAGCCCTTTCAATTTTGCCAGTCTGGTTTCATGAAAGTGTTGACTAGGGGTAACCTCTCAAATGAGAAATATTTGAAGTGGAGGTCCACTCTTTGGAAGTCTGTCCTACTTTATTAGGAAGCAATTTGAAAAGTTCGTCTTTGCCTTCCATTTTGGCAGGAAGATTAGCCTTAAGTTTATTTGATTTTCATTTTCATTTTTATGATTTGATTTTAATCAAGACTCTTATTAGTGGTCAAGTCTTTTGGTGCATCCAAGAATCAAATTTAAGTAAGACTTACGAGTAGATTGTTAAATTTACAGTGGTCCGAGGGCCGTTTCTGTTGTAAATTCTTCAGCAGGAAGATTAGGAGGGGCTAGAGTTGTTTTAACAGCTGCGGTACCTGATGAAGTGAGCAAAATCAAAGATGTGCTGCTGAAATGGTGCGATATCGACAGAGTGGATCTTATCCTCACCCTTGGTAAACTCCTTATTTGTTCAACTATATGTTTCATTGTGTGAACTTCAAATCTTTTTGTATTTGGTCTTTCTGAAGTCCTCGTCTTTGTTAAATTTGATTTTTTGTCATGTCAAGGTGGTACTGGCTTCTCTCCAAGGGACGTAACCCCTGAAGCAACTAAAGAGGTGATTGAGAAAGAAACATCCGGACTCCTTTACGTCATGATGCAAGAGAGTCTGAAAGTAAGTTTTCACCTTGTAATGTATTTGACAAATAGCTTTGTAGTTCATGGAACAGCAAAGAGGAAAATATTGAAGAGGGGAAGGCCCCAGAACAAATGAGTGTAAATCAGATCAAATTGGAGACTGTGGTCTAGGGGCTATGATGGTATTGGATTATTTTTGGTGTAAATTTGTACTTTGTTACTTAAATTACATTGGATTGAATTCATGCTTTCAATGTCGATTGGAGGCTGAAGGGATGGGGAGGGGAAGTTTATAGTGAGAGGATTGGAGTGGGAGTGGAAGCGAGACGAAGGGAGTATAAGGAAGAGAGGGGACGGAGGAGAGGGAGTTGAAGAGCACTAGTGATGAACAGAGAGAACTATAAAACCAGTTTTATAAGTTGGTATTGATTTTAGATTGTCTCATTGTTCATTTGAAAGCTAACTTGCGTAAGTGCTTGTCTGACTATAGTATGCCTGTTTTTTCCTTTTGCCAGACTTCTGATATGTTTAGCATGTTAGCTTTCGAACGTGTTCTACATTTGGCTATTTGTATATTTCCTATGTTTGCCCTACTTTTTTAACAAAGTTCTGTGAAGTACATCTTACTAGTCATTAAGTTAAAAATTTTGTTCCTCGTCTTTGAAACAGGTGACACCATTTGCTATGCTCTCACGCTCTGCAGCCGGAATAAGAGGATCAACATTGGTAAAGTCACAGTATTTTTCTTAGGGGAAAAAAAAAAAGGCCAAAACATCATTTTTGATACTTCTTAACGAGTTAGTACTTGTTAGTAAAAATGCGCGCAAGTGTGGAAGCAATTTGAAGTATTTTAATCCAGGGGTTAGTAAAAAAAAAATTTACTAATACAATTCCTTGCACTGTTAATCAAAGATGCCTTTCAAAAAACAGAAAACAGACCAAAGATAAAAATTGTGTGCAAAGTTCTATTCCTTTGAGAAGCTAAATTAATCCCAATGATGTTCCGTTTCCCATTGATGATTACATTTTATCATTTTTATAGCTTGTTTCACATTTGCAGTAGTCCAAGGTTGTCATTAATAATACATCCAAACCATGACTCTTATTTGTTGTTACATTACCTTGAAATGTTTTCTATTTCCACAATATTTTCAGATCATCAACATGCCCGGGAATCCAAATGCTGTTGGCGAGTGCATGGAGGCTTTGTTACCTGCTCTTAAGCACGCATTGAAGCAGATAAAAGGGGACAAAAGGGAGAAACATCCCCGCCATGTTCCTCATGCAGAAGCGGCTCCTCAGGACGAGTGGGAACGTAGTTATAAATCGGCCAGTGGCAGTGGCAGCAGGAGAGGGGCCTGTTCTTGTGGCTAAAGCAATCTGAATGAGTCAGAAAGCATGTAAGTTTGTGTTATTTTGGCCTGCTTCATATAGCATTAGCGTGTATGTATTATGTATACTTCATGTGTTGTTAGTTGCGCTTTCGGAGATCGACGGGAAGTCTTCGTTTTACGTGTTTATTATTTATTTATTTATTTATTTTAAAGAAGATTGCTGTTTTGTGTACGACACATTCCCCCTTTCTGGGAAAGGAAGAGCCGAGTAAACCGACAGGTCTCTTGCTCCCTGGCCGGGATTAAGGGGCCTGTATATTGTTTTGGCTGCTGTCGTTTTCCATGTCACTGTCGTCTTATGTTGATGTCGTTTCATGAAGCTTCACTTGGGCTATTATCGTTTTATGAAGCTCGTATCGTTTCCACCTGTCACTTTCTATGTTTGTTGTGTTATTATTATTATTATCATCATTATTATTAATTATTTTTTATTTTGTCATTTCACATTGCTTTTATTGTGCTATATTGATATCATATGTTAGTTATCTTGTTTTCTAGCCGTCGTCGGTTGTTACGTTCATGTTGTTTCTAGTTCTTTTCCAATTTATTATCTTTTTTTTTCTTTTTGGGAATTGTCTTTTTATTATATGAATATCTTTTGTTCTTGTTTCCAAAATCGTTGTCGTTTTAAATTCTTATGACGCTTTACATTATAATTTTCGTTGTCGTTTTTAATTGGGGTCTCTCGCTTTCATTTTTTGTAGGGCTATACATGAGCGGGTTCGGCAGGTGACGGCGGGTTGGACGACGAGAAAGTCTCCAAGATCCCAATCTAGAATGACCCTACAGTCTAGGCGGGTTGTTGGAGGCTGGCGGGTTGACTTTTTTTGTTTGCGAGTTGTTTTTAATTAGTAAAGAATAAGAATTTCGGAATCATAAAACTTATTCATATTATCAAATTACACAATATCCAATACTGTATAAACAATAACAAAAAATTCTCAAACTAACGTTTTCTGAATTGAGAAACATCGTTATAACTTCTAAATAGCAATAGATTTTATTATTTATTTCATGATCACACTATTATTGATTTTTTGGGAGCGTTTGATATGCGGTAATCAATATGAATCATATTACTAAAAAAGTGATTGGTATACGGTAATCAGCACGGTAATCAATATGAATCATATTACTAAAAAAGTGATTGGTATACGGTAATCAGCATCAATATGAATCATATTATTAAAAAAGTGATTGGTATACGGTAATCAGTAGGAATTATATTATCATAAAAGTGATTTATGATTATGAAGAATCATGCATTATCATATTTGGTTATGTATAATAATCTTCTTATTGATTCCCATGATTGTCACATGCTTATGATTTACAATAATGTAATCTTTTTTATAAAATTAATAGGTTTTAAATTTTTATGTAATCCTTATAAAATTATTAGGTTTTAAATTTTTTGAAAGGAATAATTTTAAAATTCTTGAAACATAAATCGTAACTACCGTTTTAATAACACTGCATTAATACTCTTATTAGATTTTTTTTCTTAGATATCATGAGAAAAATTATTATTAAATCTTATCGGATCCTTTTATAAATATTATTAAAAATATCAAAAAAAATAAAGTTTCAAAAAATTAAGTATGAGTAAAAATAATAACAAAAGAAAAAAACTGAAAAAAGAAAACAAAAAACCAAAACAATTATTCTTTCTTTTAGTTTCCCGTCCCTCTCAGTCTCTCACATATTCTTCTTGATCTCTCTCTCCTTCCAGATCAGTGCTAGGCTTGGACTTTTCAAGGCGTGGATAGTGCGGCGGTCACGGGGGTGGACGGAGGTGATGGCTTTGTAGGGGAGGGAGTGACAATGCCGCTATAGGGACGTTGAGGGAAGTGGCTGCATAGCAATTTGACGAGGAGACTTGGTGGCTGCTGATGGAGATGAGATCGGCAGTGATGCAGGGTTGCAGTCACCGTGGAGCAGCGACGACAAAATGTGGTTGAGCTTCGACTGTGGGGTGCGACGGTGGGCCCGTGGCTGCGGCGACGACGGGTTGCAATATTGGGGTGATTTGCTTGTTGAACAGGTTTCCCATGTCTCTAAGATTCTTGTGAATTTGAATAATATCATATTTTGATGGTATTCAAATTATCCATTTTTGAGGGAATGTGAATCCCATAGAATTTACATTCCCAAAAATGTAAAAATTGTAATTCTTGTACCAAATGTAGGAGGCTGGTCCACAAGCTTGATGTTCAATGTCAAACCTACTATTCACAAAACATCGAACTATTTGAATCATAAGTTCATATTTTTTTTACTACAATAAATTTTTATTTAAATCTATGAATTAAAGATGAGCCAAACGGACACTAATAGCCGCGCGTCATGCGCCAATGTTTAAACAGGACCGCTTATCTATTAGTTTCTCTTTTAGGACCTCTTATCAGTAGGTGTCAATTTTTTTACCGTTTGATCTTATTAAATTCACATCAGATTAAAAAAATATACAAAATAAATAATTTTTACACATATCTAACGGCTAAAATTAAGAAACTAATAGTGATTTATTTTTTTAAGACCTACAAAAGAAACTTTTTTTATTTTGTGAATTTTTTTGCAGTTTAATTTTTGACATGTTTTTTCAAAATATATCACACTTTACTCTTATTATTATTGTCTATCTATTATTCTATTACATTTAGGAATTCTCCTAAAGGACATTGTGTTTTGGAGGCGTCTCTCCCCCCACATTCACAAAAAAAAAAACAAAAAAAAACAAAAAAACAAAAAAAAAAAAACACACACACACACACACACATTTTTTTTTCCTTTTGCTCTTTTTTTTCCTTTTTTCTTTTGTCCCTCACTTCTTTTTTCCCTCTCTTTTTTCCCCTCTAAAATACATTTTTTTCTTTCTCAAATGTGACCCCATAAATATTTTTCCCTCTAATTGTCTCATTGAAATAATTTTTTTTATATATGTTCTAATTAAAACTTTTTTTTCTTTTAAGAAATGACCTTCTCAAATACTTTTTTTTTTGTCTATATATGCCCTTTTTTTTTCTTTTCTTTTTCTAAAAGAAAACAAAAAACCAAAACAATTATTCTTTCTTTTAGTTTCCCGTCCCTCTCATCTCTCACATATTCTTCTTGATCTCTCTCTCCTTCCAGATCAGTGCTAGGCTTGGACTTTGCAAGGCGTGGATAGTGCGGCGGTCACGGGGGTGGACGGAGGTGATGGCTTTGTAGGGGAGGGAGTAACAATGCCGCTATAGGGACGTTGAGGGAAGTGGCTGCATAGCAATTTGACGAGGAGACTTGGCGGCTGCTGATGGAGATGAGATCGGCGGTGATGCAGGGTTGCAGTCACCGTGGAGCAGCGACGACAAAATGTGGTTGAGCTTCGACTGTGGGGTGCGACGGTGGGCCCGTGGCTGCGGCGACGACGGGTTGCAATATTGGGGTGATTTGCTTGTTGAACAGGTTTCCCATGTCTCTAAGATTCTTGTGAATTTGAATAATATCATATTTTGATGGTATTCAAATTATCCATTTTTGAGGGAATGTGAATCCCATAGAATTTACATTCCCAAAAATGTAAAAATTGTAATTCTTGTACCAAATGTAGGAGGCTGGTCCACAAGCTTGATGTTCAATGTCAAACCTACTATTCACAAAACATCGAACTATTTGAATCATAAGTTCATATTTTTTTACTACAATAAATTTTTATTTAAATCTATGAATTAAAGATGAGCCAAACGGACACTAATAGCCGCGCGTCATGCGCCAATGTTTAAACAGGACCGCTTATCTATTAGTTTCTCTTTTAGGATCTCTTATCAGTAGGTGTCAATTTTTTTACCGTTTGATCTTATTAAATTCACATCAGATTAAAAAAATATACAAAATAAATAATTTTTACACATATCTAACGGCTAAAATTAAGAAACTAATAGTGATTTATTTTTTTAAGACCTACAAAAGAAACTTTTTTTATTTTGTGAATTTTTTTGCAGTTTAATTTTTGACATGTTTTTTCAAAATATATCACACTTTACTCTTATTATTATTGTCTATCTATCATTCTATTACATTTAGGAATTCTCCTAAAGGACATTGTGTTTTGGAGGCGTCTCTCCCCCCACATTCACAAAAAATAAAAACAAAAAAAAAAAAAAAAAAAAAAAAAAAAAAACACACACACACACACACACATTTTTTTTTCCTTTTGCTCTCTTTTTTCCTTTTTTCTTTTGTCCCTCACTTCTTTCTTCCCTCTCTTTTTTCCCCTCTAAAATACATTTTTTTCTTTCTCAAATGTGACCCCATAAATATTTTTCCCTCTAATTGTCTCATTGAAATAATTTTTTTTATATATGATCTAATTAAAACTTTTTTTTCTTTTAAGAAATGACCTTCTCAAATACTTTTTTTTTGTCTATATATGCCCTTTTTTTTTCTTTTCTTTTTCTTTTTTTTTTACATTTCTTTCTTCCCTCCCTTTTTTCCTCTCTACAATACATTCTTTTTTTCCCTTTCTCAAATGTGACCCTTATAGATATTTATTTCCTCTAATTGTCCTGTGAATAATTTCTTCTCATATATGTCCTAATTAAAACTTTTTTTTTTTACGAAATGACTCTCTCAAATATTTTTTGACTATATATGCCAATATATAATATTTAATATTTTGTTCTAAAATGTGTCTTTATGAAAACATTTTATCTGTAATCTTTCTAGATAAATTTTAATTCACTCCATTAAGAACTTTTTCCCTCTTTGCTCTGATAATATTTTTTTCTACTGAATTTAATTGTTAAGAAAACAATGATAAAAAGCCATAAATTACAATTTTTTTTTATAAAAAATATGACTTACATTAAAAAAAGAAAAGAAAAATGTTGAATACACACGCGCTCCGCACATGTTTACGACTAGTATTTACAAAGGAAAGAACTATTTGGCACCAAATGCAGCATTGCGATTCCTTTCAAAGAGATATTTATTTGTACATGTTTCATACATATCACAACGTATATAAAGATTTTTGATAAGGAAAAAAAAAATCACGTTCAGGTATGTTTGTAGAATTAGAATGAATGAGATAATAATTTTGAATGAGAATGTGAATGTAGACTAAATAATTAGGAAATCAAATGGGTCTTTTAAGGCTTAGTTTAGTAGTGTTATAGATTTAAAAAAAATTGCTATAGTTGCGATGAAAGAAGAAGCAGCTGTTACAAAAAGTAGCTGAGTGTTTGGTAAACTGTAATTATAATAGCTGTGCTGGTTCTAAAATCAGTGTAATAGTGTTTGGTAAATTTTGAGGTTGAATTGTTGTGAGTATGTAAAATGACCAAAATAGGCATGGTATGAAACTTAAATATATATAATTATTTTTGGTATTTAGAAATACTTGTTTAACTTTAAAAAACATAATGCTATGATTTTGAGTTTTTTAACAATAAATTTATGATAATTAATTTTTTTTTTTTCATTTCTTCATTCACAATATAATTACAACTAAAAGGAGCATTAGTGAGTAATCAATTTGTTGAACAAAAATATACATTCCATAAACAAGTTAAAAGCTTGAACGTCAAATGACCAAATTACATAAACAAGTTAGGCATTGATGCCTTGTATATGGTCTTCAGCTTCCTAGTTGGTGGCCTGACCTTCTTGTACACCAATGGAAACTTATATTCGAGTTGTGGAATTGTTTTGTGCTCTCTCTCTTGCAAAGCTTGGTAGGGACAATTACAGTCTTGATAATCTAAATGCATGGGAACCTGACTCTGTGGTGAGAAGTCATTTCGTTGTACATCTGCTCCACGGCACCATTTAGAGTGATGTCTCAGGACTCCTTGTACATATTATGGTACCCAGTTCGGTTCTGATAACGCAGCCAAATACCATAATTATCAATTTTGGTGGGGTTCTTCTAAAAAATCTGCAAGAAAGTATGATAAATTTGTTGAGAAATTTTATGCCAAGAAACGGACTA